ATTTTTTTTTCTATTTTTTATAAAAGTATGTAAAAAGAGTTTTGCTTCTCTACGAAAGTCTGAAAGGTGCTATAGAAAAGGGAGTTAATCTCGAAAGTATTTTTAGCGTATTTATAACAAACAGTTAATGATTTTTTGATGAATCATTTGAAAATATTCTGTCTCTGATTAAAAAGCCCTGAAGTATATTTGGTTTGAAAAGTCCAGGAATATTTAACAAATGTTTTCATTGCCTCCATCCATTTGGTAAGCTCTGCTTCATTTCCTGTGGCTCTGCTGAAATAAATATCTGATGGGAAAGAACCAGGAAAATATTTTGAACCCAGCTTGGAATATAAATAGAAGGAGAGGTGCAGATCAAGAACAAAATCTGTGTTTCATTGTTGTTTCACTGCAGATGTAACTAGGAAGATTGCCTCATAGAAGAATCTTTATAACTGCCTCTAGAATACTTACTGTGTTGCTCTGAAAGAAAGTGTATTCATAGGAAGTTTCTTTGCAACATCTTGTAGTGGAAAATCACATACTCCTTGTGCATGCTTTGGAGTCAGTTCCTAATATTGTTCTGACTCTGTTAGAAATGTAGCCTTGAGAATAATGGTGGTCTCTGATGGATTGAAAAAAATATTAAACTCAGCCACAAAATAAAAGGAATTCTAAGACAAAAAGAAATCCTTCCTCTCCTTTATTCTTACTATGCCCAGGTGAATTAATGAGGATATTGAGCCTAGTAAGTTGTACCTTCCCCCTTGAAATGCTCAAAGAGAGGCTATAAACAGCTTAGATTGTCCTTCAGATGAAGACAAGCATGAGGAAGATTCTGAATTGCAATGGAATGAAATCATTCTGAAAGAACTCCCCTCAGACCATCAGAAAGCAGATAAAAAATCCTCTGAATATGAATTTTCCAATAGGGCTAGGCATACAGACCTACAGGTCTAAAGAGGTTGTGGCCTTAGAAGTAGTTCTGCCATTTTCTGAGAGTGTTTATTGCTCAGCATGATGTGCCAGTGGAAGACTCGGACCCACATTGCTGCAAATCAATGTAAAAAGATGCCCTTTACTGTCAACTGTTCCTTAATGATGGCTCCTCACCTCAGCCTGACCTTTCACTGTGTTCAACCCACAGAGGGCAGTGATGTGCAATTAATAATAACTCAAATGAAAACACCATCTGTTTTTAGAAGTCTTAGTGTGTCTTTTTGGGAAGAACTGACAATTTTTTACTTCATCTGTCAATAACATGGAACTCTTGGAATTTCCCAGGTTGAGTTTAGGGAATTAAAAAATACAGAATTACAAAATAGGTTGTAAAAATTATGTTCTGGGGAAATTTCTGGAGGTTTTTTGTAGTAGTATTGCCTGGCAATAGTTTGCACTAATAAATAGTAAACCATATACTGAGAAGCAATAAGTCTAAAGTAGAAATACATATGCAAATCTAGGATGTGTTCTATTCAATCCTATGGTCCAGTCATCCTTTAAAACTTTTAGTATGACCACCAAACAATCCTCTTTTACCATTTCTGCCTGCATAAAGCCTACATGCAGCTAAACTCCTGAGGAGCAGCAGGAAAATGAGATTATTGCCCTGACCTACAGCCAGCAGAGTCAACCCACATACACATAAGGACAGGACCATTCCCCAAACCCACAGGTCTGAGTCACCTTTTATCAGCTGTTGGAGCACAGAGTTTGTCTGGGTTTTTTGTCACCAACCAGCCCCAGCTGAAGAGAAATCTACATTCACTATGAGTAGGTCTCAGCAAAACAATAACCTCTTAAAAGCAGAAAAAAAGGTGACCTCCAGCCTCCTCTACACTGAACATATTTCTGATTGCCATCTATCTCTTTTGCATATCTCTACTGTAATACATGTATACAAGAGTGAAAGAGGTCGAAGGATTTCTGGATGCAATGGGCAGGTCAAAGCACAGAATGACTTTTCTATCCCCCTCAGGCCATATTTGTGTTTGTTTTAGAAGTAAGCATTCCAAAGATATGAAAGAAATGCCAAAGCATAAGACAGATTAAAAGGTTGGAGAATGCAGAAAACAAAACAATAATTCATGAAGTGGAATCTGCAAAGCGGGGATCCTCTCATGGCAAGCACGTAGCCAGGAGTGTGGAGCTTACAGCCCTGAGCCAAGCCAGCCTCACTCTCTGGGGCTGGGCAGAGGGGGAAGGCCAAGTTTGCTGCTTTTCTCTTCCTTACCCACCTCCCCTTGGATGTTTGGTGCAGACAATGTGTATGTAGGGCTGATGGCTTTGGAGGGACTTTGCACTCTGCATTGGAACAGCCTTTATACAGTTATGCAGAGTGTGAGAGTGCCTTTCATTTTGGTATGTAGAGCTGTAGCTGAGCTAGTGAAAAATCAGCCTTTCATTCTTTATGAAGTGCTACTGTGATGTAGGAACTCCTTCTGTGGAACCCAGACAAGACGAGAGGTATCTTTGCTGCATTTTATTTGTGTATTCATATTCAGTAATGTGTGAAGTGCAAGGAGACTGCCATAATGTTTCCATCTGGAAAAATTCTTCTTAACAAAAAATATTTCAGTGTTTCACTGTATAAAAAATACTCTAGTGCCTATAATTGCATAAAAATTCGATATATTATAGCTATGATATCATATACAAATTGATTCCTACAACATTTTTATGTGGTTATTTCTAAAGAAATATGTAATCTCTATCACTTGTTACTTGTAGCATCCTTTACTCAAAAATCAATGTGATAAACACAATGTTAGTCTGAACAGAATGTCATGCAATGAAATATAATGTGAAATCAATCAAATCTGGATAGCAATAGACATGAGGCTCATACTCTGGTAAACTGTAACATTTAACACCTCTAGATTTCGTATAAATACTTATCTCTGTGCATTTTACAAAGCTCCAGCTATCACCATACATTCAATCTTAAATACATCTAATTTTGTAATAGATCTGGGGCTTAATGTTCAGATAGAAAAAAGTTTTGAAATCTTCTATCATGTTCAAATGCTTGAATATAAGGCAAGTCCCTTATTATTTTAATCCACTTTTAATTTTTAAATTTCCTAAATTTACCAATAATACACAGCACTGAGCTAGTTTTGTAAAATTAATCAGTGATTTATGATAAATAACAGTCATTAAAATAATTGCACTTAATTACACTGATTATAGGCCCAAAAGGGGCTTCTTCACTGGGAGGGTGCTCAGTTCCTGGAACAGGCTCTCCAGGCAAGTGATAAAAGCATGAAGCATGTCTGAGCTCAAGGAGTATCTGGATGATGATCTTGGCCATGGTTTAGTTTTAAGTACTTCTGCAAGAAGCAAGGAGTTGGATTTGAAAATCATCATGGGTCCCCTTCAACTTGAGATGATCTTTGGTTCTATGACCCTTAAAAGAATGGACTGCTGATGTGATGGCACATAGAGTTAGGAGTCTCACTGGGAGAAATTCATTAAGAATATCATAACTGGAATTAGTGGTGCAAAGCAGTACTAAGGTCCTGTTATATTATTTTCACTCTAATGGACTGTGTCATTGACTTTAAACAAATGAGATATAACTGAAGAAGCAATGCCTAAACTTGCATCTGTAGGTGCTTGTGTGCTCAGATATCATGACTTAAAAAGGGCTGCTATCACCAATGTTCTAACATCATTAGTTATGTGCAGAAATAGAGTTATTCAGCTGGATATCTATGACTTTACACAAAGTTATGGAAATTCATCCCTGTTTTTTTCTTTCCCGTTTAGCATTTTAAAGTAAAGTTGCCATCATTTTCAAAAATTCCTTTACTGCTCATTATGATCTTCCAGAACACCCTTGCCAAGCCACACTTCAAGGGTCTCTGTGCTTCGTTAGGTCTGAGGACCTCCTTCTAAAAGTTATCAGCAATTCTGTGAGTTCCCTGATTCACAAACAACTAATGTAATATTTGTGTGAATGCTTGTCTGCACTTTCTTTTTGAGAATACAATATCTAAAGCACCAAGATTCATTTTCTCATCATAAATATGCATAAGACATTCTTATTAACATAAATCTGATCTAACAGGTTCATCATGGATAAAGAAATGTAATTAGTTTTCTTCCCTGCCTCTTTTACTGCTGTCTCTATTTTCCTTAGATTTTGCTTGTTCATGCACTACAGTCTCAGAACCTTTGTTGTGCATTGTATTTAGCTGCTTGATGCATCTCACAGTGTTTTTCTTAACCCCAGCTGGAGTACTACTGGCTTTTGCTAAGAAAAGAGCAGGAAAAAAATTCTTATTTATAGTTTGGATGGTTAGTCAAACAGTCACAAAGAAAAATAGATTTAGACATATACAAAACTTGTGCAAATATTTCCTTTTGATGTCATCGTGCATGTGTCATCCTCTCATAGCAAGGAAAATAGGTGCATCTGCATTCTGACACTACTTCATAAAATGAAGCATGTTGTTTGCTGCTGACTTGCCAAATTGGTAGTATGAGAAGAGATCTAAAGAAAAGCTTGAAAATATATTAGTGTATTTGTAAGTCAGAGTGTTCTTATTTACCTTCAAATAAGCCATACTAAATCTATGGTTATCACATATTTGTTAGTTTTTCCTCCTCTTTATCACCATTGTCACAACTTTTTAAAGATAGATGGATACAATTTTAAATGGTAGAGTAGCCTGGCTTCCAGTAATATATTCTAAAAACAAAGAACATTTTAGTATGAAGTTAAATAGAGCTCTGACAAAATAGATGGTTATGCAGTTCAATCACACACAAAGTAATTTCTCTACTGAGACTTTATCTGCTGTTGATGGTTGTTATTTGCACAGTACTCATCTAATTTCACTGCCTTTCCTGTTATCCTAGCAAAGGATCTGTTTGCCAGTTCTTGATACAACTGCATGGACATCTTCAAGTCTTCTCTCTGTTTCGTTTGATTTGGGTTTTTTCCCCCAAAACTTGTGTTTGATAATCCATAATCCATGTATTTTACTATATATAATTTATTCAAATTTCAGACTGATGATGGGATTATGAAAATATGGAGTGAATCAGGAACTCATGGTGACAAGTGGAATGAAGTCAAGTTACACTTGGGGAAGCTGAGGAATTTTGAAATTATCTTTGAAGGCATTCGTACCAGAGACCTGAGAGGAGGAGCAGCAATAGATGACATAGAGTTCCACAACTGCACCACCAGTAAGTTCAAGAGGAAAGTTTCTAGAGGGGTGCCACACAAGATGTAGGAAGTTCTTGTTTGTTTTTAAATACACCATAATTATACTGTTTTCCTCATAATTTCACTGCTCATAACATCAGCTATGAATAAATTGTTTCTGCTCCTGTAACTTTAATACTCTTTTCTGCACATACATTCGTGTGGTGTTCTCACACTAAATTATGGCAGATAAATCCCAGACATTACTAAGGTTTTATTTCCTTTATTTATTTTGTTTTGAATAAGAACTTTCCTTCTTTAACCCACTGGTAAGTTATTGAGTCTGTGATGTTGTACATAACCATTCCATGTAAATTGTGTCAGATTATATTATATAAAATCCGTGGCCTCTGTGTTTTATTATAAAACACATTATATCTCTTCCCATAAAAATAAGTGGAGACTACAAATTAACCTTTATCAATATTCTTTTTCCTAGTTCAGTTGAGTGTTAAGTGTTAAAGTCAGCAAAATAAAACTTTTGAGTCCTTCACAGAATATTTAATTCATCTCTGTGCCCATAGGCTAAAATAAGAACAAAGTTTGCCCTTATAAACAACAAAAGCAACAGCAACAACAACAAACAAAAAACAAAAATCCCCCCGACAAACCACCAAACAATCAGTAGCAAAAGAAACTCCTAAACCCAAGAAGATAAACACTGAGTAGGTAGATCATGACTCCTCTCAGGAAAATATGTGTTTTTCTGTCTTGTAGGAAACAGTGTGATACAACATAAGTGATTTTCTTAAATATCAACACTGTATGAGTTTTGTGGTAGTTGTTTGAGCAAGCTTTAATCTCCTGCCATAGACTGAATGCCCATCATCAACTGAAGTAAGGAAAATGAACTTCTGAAGAACATCTCTTGATCTAGTTTTATATAAAAATGTAGAGTTTGCATTCATAAATTGTTATATAATTCAAAAGACGGAAACTTGGTACAACCTGGGACCTTCTTCAGAACTGCACTTTAATAAAACTCTAAGGCAGATGTACTCTTAAAAGCCTTATGAAACACTTGAGCATTAGTGACCCCCTTGTCTTTTTTTGAAGTGTTTCATTGTCCCCATTGCCATGCATGTGATTGTTATCCAAAAAACAAAGGTAGATGCCCTGGTAGGATGGTAACTCAATATCTTGGATAACAAAGTGGATGCCGGTCTCTCTTGCAATTTGTTGCCAGTTGTGTTTACATTAATTAATTCATAGCAGTGGGGTCTAGTTAAACCATATTTCTGGGATTCTGTTCTATTTTGGGGCTATAACAAATAAGACACTTCATTTCACAGTCATATTCATGAAGATAGTCAACAAATAAAAATAGTAGTTTATTTTTTTAAGGAAGAAGTAATATCTCTGTTAAGTTCATAAAGATGGTAGCAATATATCTTAATATAGCGTAAAATATTTTTCTTACTCTTAAGTCCACGTATTAGATAATAACCTGAAAAATGACATCATATAAGCATAACTGGAAATATTCCAGAGTTGTCATTGCAAGGAAGGAAATTGCTTCAATAAGGATTTGGAAAGCTGTCATATGAAGGATCCTCAATCTCTTAAAATGTTAAGATTGCTGAAATTTACATTGGTTTTAGTCTATGACCCTACAAATCTGAATGTTAACAGTGTCTTATAACAGGTATTGCATTAAAATACCTTTGCAGTGAAGCAGTCCAGAAAGTAACTTAGTTTATTACTTTATAGCAACTATTTGTTTTACAGCACTGCTTCAGGAAGAAGCCCTGTTGGGAAAGCAGTTCCACCAAGTGCTCCAACTTTCACATAAAGTGTCAGCATAGACATATTCCTGTAAATTTGCAGAAAATTATGGTTTATGAAGACGAATGATTCAGAGAAGGCTTTTCTCATAGAAGTTTGAAATGTACAATTGAAGCTCAATATGCAATATAATTTTTTTAAAGATTGATTTAGGAGAGTTGGAAACCCAAGATGCTGATCCTTTATAGAGTTGTCACTTGCATGCTCATTGCTTTTGCATTCTAATAGAGTGCAGTCTTTATACACTCAGGAATGATTTCCTTACAGCATCTCTGGTAGTGTTTGCTAGGTACAGCAGGGTTATCATTAAAGTTTAGGTGTATGCATCCTATGGGGAATGTGTTTGTGCTTATGCCTTTGCTTTCCAGCAGGATCAGAGGCCTATTTGTTCACTTTTCAGCTTTATCTGTGTGCATCTGTGAAAATGCAAGTCTGAAAAAGAAGCAAAACAAAGAAACAAAACCTTTAGAAACAACCTACACCCCACCACATCTCACCCCACCTCTACCCCCTGACTTTCTTATCTGTATGAGGATACTTAGCCTCAAACCAACATTAAAAGGGAATCATTTAGTGCCTTTCCCATCAGCTCTGCACTCTGTATATGATTTTTTACCTTCTACTCCACAATTGATACCTGCTTGCTTAATATTCTCAAAACTTTTGGTATGCTGACCTTCCTGTTGGCATGATGACACAAAGGAGCCTGGTCTGACCTTTCTCCTTCTTGTTGTTATTGATTCTTTACCTTTGTAGAGCAAACAAGCAAAATACGTTTTGCCAGTTTCTCAAAAATAACATTTCCCACCTGACCCAAGCCTGGGGCATTCAGGATAGAGAAAGCATGTCTGTGCAGATTGCATTTTTTGCAGCACAGAGTTCACAGTTTTATTGTGTCTGTCATAACAAAGCTAAAAGTCAGCAAACACAATCTTACTGTGGTCAAACTCAAAAAGAAGAGCAGCATACAAAGCAGATGGGGCACAGGGGCTTCTGATCAACAAAATCACTTGATTTACAGCACTTACCCGTGTACTGTGTTTGTAGCTGTAGAATTGCTGGGCTAGACATATGGCAAGGGTCCTCTAGGACAACTGGAGCTGCATGTGTATTTTCTACTTGATCTTATTTTGTTAAACTAAAATCTTAAAATATTATGGATATTCTAGCTGTGTTACTTACGTAAACAGTGGAATATAACATGCACGGAAAAAAATAGGAGATTGAAAATAAAACTTGAAAACAGGTTTAAAATAAACAGAATGGAGTTGAAATGAGAATGCAATAAATTTCATGGGGAAAAAATGGAATATTTAGCTGCTTCTCAGCAGACAGCATTTAGAGGTGAAAACCAATGTAAGAGCAATTCTGGAGCTTTCAAATATTTTGGGATAGCCTCCTCCTCACAGACTGTCCTTGTGGAAGCCACTGAATGGTATTCCTGGAACATGGTTTACAGTCAGCACAATAAAATTGCCTCGTTGCAGAAATTATGTACTCAAGTTGAGACAGTGAAAAGGGAAGAGAGAGGCAGCCCATGTGATATTTTTACATGTGAATATTAGATCTTTTTTCTGCAGCATGATAATATTCAATGGTTATATCATTGTTTAATATATCTAAATACTTATTTTCTTTTACATGTGCTTTCCTTCAGCTTGCTTCCTACAATGTGTTATAAGATATAGACATCCATCATAAGAGCATCTGCACTGAGGTGGATTCTTTGCTCTTCACTTACATAGCTGTGATTTACAAAGCTCATTTTATATGAGCATTTTGAACTGATTACAGACAATCTCTTCAATATTTCCTTTTAAAAATTATTTTGTCAACAGCTTCTATAGCAGTAGAATACTACAAATGACTCTATTATGATCTGAGCTTCTGAGGCCCTTTCCTTCAAGCTCATTTTCCTCAGGTCTCACTAATTTCTATGGAAGTGAAGGACAAGAAGAAACTGTGAGTTTATTGGTAATAGGAGCTCTAGGAAATATTATCAAAGATAGAATAAAACAAAGATATAAACCAGTCTTATCAGTTGGTTTAGAGAAGATAAGCAAAGTTCTGGTAACAAAAATAGGTTAAATTCCAAATCTGATACATTTTATTTTACAGGTTAAATTACAAAATATGAAAAATCTTGACGTTAAATCACAGCTAGAAAAAAATTGTTCTTAAATTAACTGATGTATTGATATTTTTGTCACTTTCTTGTACAATAATTCTTTATACAACTTTTTTGAGACTATGTGACCTGAAATGAGTTTACTGTCATCATTTCTTGTGCTTTTTAAAAATTATCTTTGACCATGAATGAGATTATTTACAGGCTGGGAAAAAAAGTCTCCATTTTTGCCTTAATAAAAAGGTAAAATATCTATGAGGGTCATGCAGAATAATCCTTAATGATAAATTTATTTTTTCCACTTACAACATTTAACTTCATGATAATGGAGTCTGCTCCCATTAAGGAGCACTTCAAGCATTATTGATCTGCTTTCCCAGCTGATGGCTCACTGTCATATAACAGTGAATCAAGAGCATGATTTCTCAGGCATGCTGTTAGCAAAAGTTTGATTTTTGTGCATCTGCAATTTTAAAGAAAAGGAATTTTGTACTCTCAGATACACAACAGGGAGTATAAGCATGGACATGTGCCTGACTCAGTCGTATCATACATATTGATTTTGGCATCCCAGGCCACCACCTGAAAAACTAACAGGGGAAGATAGATGAAAATAAGAGAATCATAACTCTGAATTAAAATTTGACAGAATTTTCTAGAACATTTTGGTATTAGTTTGATTTATATCATTTTTCATAGTCTGGGAATTCAGTGCCAGGAATAAGACAGAACCGTTGTGTCAAGTCCAGCAACCTTTGTCAGTTTGGAATCAGTCTCCACAAACTTTTCTTCTAATCTTACCATTATATTTAGTTTTTAAAAGAAAGAAAAGTAAAAATTCCGCAATCTATTAATAGGAAATCACTTCATTAGATTGAGCTAAACAGAAATTTTCCATAAAATATAATAAACTTGCTTTCCTGGCAGTAAACTTTTTCTTTCCCTTTCTCCTCATATCTTTGTATTCTTCCTCACCTGCTGTTTATGGCAAAGACCATAGGTGAAGGTACTGAAATCCTTTGAACAACTTTACTTCCATGCTCTCATAAACAAGAAGCTTTGAAAGTC